ACTCAGTCCTATCTCCTTTGACAGCTCTGTTTGGTCTCTTACATACTCTGCTTACCTCGCACTCAGCTCCTAGGTTAACATTTTCCTCTCCTATTTTCGGACTCAGAGATGCTATAGGTGGGTGATGCTCAGACACTCACTTCCGGTCCTTTGTTCAAACAGCAAACCAACAACTCACCCCATTCATGCAAATCTTTAAGGCAGGACCCCCAAGACAGGATTTTTAGTGATATTTGTTGAATAGAGTTGAAATAGCACAGTGTAATATAGATAATATTTTTTAAAGGACCAAAAGAAAATGATCCCTATTATGTAGGATACTGAGATGAAGGAACATGTGTCCCTTTATGTTGCATACTCAGAATGTGAACACAAATTGTAGGTTAAACTGAAAAAAATCTGAGAGTGTTGTTTCTTGTTTGTGACGACAGGAACATGACAAAGGCAATGGGAATGTTAAGTACCCTTGTATTAAAACAATGACCAAAATTAGTCATAACAAAAATGAAGTTCAACTGAGGATTCTTAAATGGATCTAAGCAGATTCCGTACCATGGCTAACATTAGTGGAAAAAAATTTAAAGTGACACCTATTAAAGGTTAGTGTCTAAAACTCTTTTTCCTCAAATAATTTTTCTCTTTTATCTAAACATAGGGCCTACTGGGGATGAGAAAAGAAAAAGGAAACGTTTTTCTTTATTTAACAGTCTTATCTGGGGCTAGCCTAGAAGAAATAATTAAGAACTAAGTACTTACTCACTTCTCAAAGTATGCTACACTTGATTAAAAGTTAGAGCATGACTGGACCATAATCAATATTAGTTTCCTGAACACACACACACACACACACAAGGTGTCCTAATCTATACTCCTCTGTACATACTCTTGTGGCTGGTCGACAAAAGGTCTAAAAGAGCTGCCATGCTTTGAAGCCATTTGTGATCACTGAATGAGGTAAGGCCCAACATGAGGTGACCCACATAAACGAAAGGACTCCTGTCTTTGGCAAGGTGAGCTAATAGAGAAAGGCAACTCCTAAGGAGATGAGATGCAGCAGGAAATCAATGTAAGGCTTGTACCAAAAGTTCTTTTTAACCAGAGTCTATTCACACGTTTTCAAGAATCACCAAACTTCTTGATACAGCCAGCAAAATTTTATGTGAGTACATTTTGTTGGAGAAAATGTTACAGCTTTAATTTAGGAGTGAGCACAATTTTTCTCTAAAGGATCAGACAGTAAATATTTCAGACTTTGGTCTCCATTCCAAATACTCAACTCTACTGCCGCAGCACAAAAAAGCAGGCATAGACAATAGTAAATGAATAGGTATGGCTGAGATCCAACAAAACTTTTATTTACAAAAAAGGGTGCCTGCTGGATTTGGCCCACAGACTGTAGTTTCCCAACCCCTGTTGTAATCCATCATACTCTTAGTCATTTCCTTCTATGAATCAAGGACTCTGAAGTCCAAGTCTTTTTAATTCCTGGACAATTTTAAAATCCATTTGAACACATCAAAGAGATAATTTCATTCTTCTTTGATCTACTCAACTCCAATTACCTCTTTCAAGATATTTCAGCAGCTCCAACCATGGCTAACTCTGTCATTACCATGAGTAGCTCCCTTTCTTATACCATGAACTTCCATTATTTATTGATTTAATAAATATTTATTAGCTGGTAAGTTCTAAACTCCAGATATCCATTTACCAGTCACACAATATCCTATTTTCCAATTCTTTAACTTTATTTTCAAGATCGTAAACATCAACTCTTTCAGCATAAACCTAAGTGACTTCTTGCTCTACTTATGTAAATTATGTTTATTCTGGAGTAAATTCATTCCTCCCTATCACTATATAGCATTCATATACCCAGGCAAGAATATCACTCGAACACGCACAATGATAGTCCCCACAAATTTACATTTTGTAGCCCTTGTTGTTGCCCACAATTCTTCACAAGTAGTATTTCTCTCAAAACTCATCAATAGCTATTCTGCCTTTCATAATGAAAACCTCAACCCACATTCCCAGCATAAGACCAGGCAACAACCTTTCCAGTGAGCGGCTGACCCTGTCAATTTCCAAAGGCCCTACCTCTAAGTATAGGATAGGTCTGCACTGGAGCACACCTATCCTCCATTCACCAAGTAAACCATTCCCTTCTCCCACTTAAAGCTCCCACACCTGCTTTTGATTTTGACTACAGTCACACCACTTTTGAGGGGCATTCATTATGAGCATGCTAGCTTCTTGCAGGACTGTGTTAGTTTTCTATTTCTGTGCAAGAAATTATCAGAAGCGTTGGCTTCTAAAACACCTCAAATATATAAGCTAACAGTTCTGTAAGTGAGAAGTCCAGTCACAATGTAGCTAGAGTCTCTATTCCATCTCAGAAACTGAAATCAGGATATGGTAGGGCTGAATTACTTTCTGAAGTCTCAGGAAGAACTGGTTTCCAAACTCACTAGGATTTCTGGAGAAACCCAACTTCATTGTAGTTGAGGGACTGCAATGCCCATTTTCTGTTGTCTGTCGACTTGGGACTCCTCCAAGCATCTAGAAAATCTGTATATTCCTTACTTCAAGGACTGCGCCATCTTCCAAGCTAGCGAATATGAATCTTTTTCATGTTGAATATGAACTAGAGAAAAGTCATGCTGGCGAACTTTTTGCAAAGCAATTGCTTCTTTATCTATAGCTCTTGCTATAGAAGAAATGGTTAAGAAGTTATGTCCTTGAACTTCCGAGAGGTCACCTGGTTTGGTTAAGAAATTAAACACATGCTTGATTCCTTGAAAGAGTCTTTAATGTAAGTGAATGCTCTATCGTTTGATCTTTCTGAGGTTTTAGCTAAAGGTTACATGGTCACATCACTGGCTTTTTCTCTAGACCACACTTTCAGAAGCAATTCCTTCATTTTAACATTCTTTGCCATCTGGATAGGCTCAAATTAACTATGTCAACTAATTCTGGTTCCCTTTCAATAAGGCTTCCCTCAATGTAACTTTCTCCTGTCACATTTTACTATCAGCATGAAGAAGAAACCAGGAAGTATCTTCAACTCTGCTTAAAAATCTCCTTAGCTATATAACTAACATCATCATTCAAGTTGTCCTTACTTCTTCAATGCAGCAACAGAAAATTTTCATGAGTCAAACTATTGTGGCCAGGAAGAGCCCAATTCCTTTTAAGGGTTAATGTGATCCACTAAGACTGAAAAATCGTAGTGCCTTAAAGTCAATTGTGACAAAGAATATAAACCAGCAGGAGTATCTCATACATGCACCTTATATCTACACTCATCTTAGAATTCTGCCCATAACAGGACTACAGATAAAACAATCAGAAACCACTGACTATATACTATGGCACTGAACAAACGACTAAATATGGTGACTGTCAGAGGCGGTTTCTCACTGTCGGAGAAGGGAAATACAAATATACATAGGGGAAATGTTACAAGTTAGATTAGAATTAGATGTGTGTGAAATCATGATTTTTATATATTTTGGTTTTAGGTTATTTTTGGTTTGTTGTTGACCCTCATACATCCCACTTCTATCTTCTATAATAGTGTAGGAGCAGTTGATACCTCAGCAGCAATGAAATAAGCAGAGACCAGATCTTCACTTATAAATAGAGCTCCTTATTAAAAGGACCTGTAGGTCAAAGGTTCCCATCTGAATCTCAGACAAAGAGTATGCCTACGAGTTCAAAGTACAGAGGAAAACACTCTCTGACAGAACATGATGGATCAAAATTCTGGTTTAGAATGAGTGTAAAAGGCTACATCACTTCTATATGGTATAAAGGTTAATTCCTGCTTATCATTGTCCTACTTTCCCAGTCACCTACATTTTAACAAGTAAGATCTCATTTTCCCAGATAAAATAACTAATAAAACACATGCATTCCAGACTAGTAATCTTCACAGCTTCACAATGTTTTAGGAATGATCGGAAAATGTTTTTCAAATATATTGGAAAGAAAGACATTCAGAAATTGAAGTTTTAACAATGGTTATAGTTAGATAGTAGGATTGAGTAAATTTTTCTTCTTTATTTTCCAAATTTTCTGTAATCAACAGGAAGTACTAGAAACACAACAAACTTTCATGTTAAAAGATCTAAGAGCAATTACTCTCCCTATAATGTGTTGTTATGGTATATAACTGGAGAGAGCTCTTCTGTACCACTACTTAAAAATACACATGTAGTAGGGCCCTCCTTGGTGGCGCAGCAGGTTAAAGCACCACACTAACAAGCTAAAGCCACTTCTGCATGAGTTCGATCCCCGCCTGCCCCGGAGGTGACCACATGGCGTGGCAGACCTCTCCTGACCCGCCCGCTGCTCCCCTCAGCAGTGTACTTCGTCGATCTGCCTGTTCTACTGCCCACTCTGTCTCCGGTGAAGCCTCTTGCCACCCCTGAGCCTCTGTACCCCAGTTCTGTATGCACAAATAAATAAATCTTTAAAAAAAAAAAAAACACACATGTAGGCCCTCCCTGGTGGTGCAACAGGTTAGGACACAGCACTGCTGCTAGCCACAATTGCTTCAGTGTGAGTTCTACCCCCCACCCTGGAGGTGATCCACATGGTGTGTCAGACCTCTCCTGTCTCACTCACTGCTCCCCTCAGCAGTGTACTTCATTGATCTGCCTGTTCTGCTCCCCACTCTGTCTCCGGTGAATCCTCTCACTGTCCCTGCACCTCTGGCCTGTACCCCAGTTCTATATGCACAAATAAATAAATCTTTTTTTAAAAATACACATATGCTCACAGAATGATAAAAGGGTTACAGATACAAATACAGATATAAAACTACTGAAGGCCCCATTATGATACAGATACATACAATTATATAATAAAATTATATTTGAATTGTTTGTGTCAGCTAATATGCTGGACACTCAATAACAGCCCACAAGTGGAGGGAATTATGTTGGTGTGTGCTAAATTACAAAATTCACTAAATTATTCTTTTTTACACTTACCTTGGTGTTGGCCATGTCCACAATATACTGGTCTCCCTTTATACATTCCATTACTTCAAAACCATCTCTGTCAATCACTTTGGCCTGAGAGCTTCCGGATACAACAAGAATCATATCTCCTGTATTGCTATACTGTAATGACTTGATCTGATGACTGTGCAAAAGGAAAAGGAAATAATCTGGTAAGACATTAAGTATGTTTATACTTTCACTACATTCAGCACTGCCAGGAAAAAGTCACATAATTATACAAATTGTTAATTCTATAAACTTAGGAACAATAATTTCAAATGCACCTCAACACAGGTGGTTATCCTGTTGTCTCCTCCCACTCTCCAAAGTAATCTATTAAAATCTTCGCTACTGACCTTAAATCTTCAACAAAGCAATGCACCTTCTACTAGCTTTAATTCTTATCCACTTGCCAGAATTCATTTTTCTGCATGGTAAGTACCTAACTTCATTAATTAACTTTTGGTTATTCAGTAGACCCAGCCTCAAATTTACCCTTTATTACCTGCTCAGCAATAATGGATTTGGGCCCTTAAAACACTTTTCCTTTTCTAGTGGGCCTGATATTAAGTTTTATCTATAGAAGGGACCAGGCAGATACTGCAAAAGGAAGGGGCTTTCCTCCTGCATCTAGATTGCTGTCTGGGTAGGTAGCTGCACCGCACACAGCTTTTCCAGGACCAGCTGCTACAGCTTATGAAGTTTCTCTACCTCCAGGTTTTTGAAGTACTAGTAAAAAGCACCCAGTAACTTCCCTGGTACCTGCCCCAGGAAGTTTTCTAGCAAAGAGACTAGGGTGAAATAGATTTCTGGCAAGTTCTGCATTCATAGCAACAGAACACCTGTTTTACCATTCAGTGAGCCACAGGTATGCCCCTCTCAAATAAGGTCTGCATATCAGAGAAGAAATGGATCCTCTTTTTATCTGCTAATCCTGAATTCTTTAAAGTTCTCTTTACTTGTTACTATGCACTCCTCATTACGCCAATCCCATTACAGTCAGCAATACTGTATAATAAATATTTCCTATGCAAGTTACTGTGTGATTTCTCTTCCTAATCAAACTTCCAGCTGGTTAAGTAAGTTTCAGTGAGAAACTGATAAAAGAAAAGTCTGTTTAGTCCAGTTTATTATATGTGTAAACAAACAAATCATTGACATTTAGCTCAGAGGGATAGGCCAAAGTCGTAAATAAGGGAATGGACCAGCTAGTCATGGATATACCTTTATTAATGGTACTCCCTTTCCCATACAGGAACAGTCTGAATTTCCTTTACTAACCATGAAAAAGCAAGTACTATAAGTGATCACATTCATTATTTTACAGATGAATTATTTATATTTCCAATGGGAAGTGAAAATCTAAAAGACACAGAGACATTTAAGATGACAGAGTAGTAGAAAAAAGTCAGCAGGCTCCATTTCTCAGGCTATTGCTCTACCAAATTCCTCTAGTTACACTTTAAGAGAAATATAAAATCTCAGTAATCCCACACTAATACTCACTTTTCTTTTTAGCTGTAAGGAAAATGTAACATTGCCCCTCTGTCTCACTACTTTCATATGCTCTCTTTGCCAACATTAAGATGAAATGTTCAGCACCAAGTTCATCATTCCTGTCCCACTTCACTCCTATTTCTGCTAGCCACAGAGTTAAAAGGACAGGATTAAGAGTCATTAGACACAGTACTAAGGAGAATTAAAGGGCTTGTTCAAGGGGTATAACATCTGCTCCTCAAATTCCTGCCTAAACAACTAAGATTCCGATCAAAGAGAAGAGAGGGAAAGCCAATCTGACAGTAAACGAGAGTCATGAGGAAGTGAATGTTCTCTCAGGGAGTAACTCTGACACCAGAGGAAGGCTTAGTGACATTGCACAATTCTTTCTGTGAAGTTAGTCATGGGGCAAGTGGGAGTACAGGAGTGTAAGTGGAGGGGAGTGGGAAGGTGAAGATTGAGGATCCTTTTAAGTAGTTTTTGCTAGGCTAGCAAAACAAGCTGGGACATGCAGGACATGCAGATAAACACAGCTGTTTGGGGCTGTCACTTGGGGCTCAGGAGCCAAGGTGTCCTGATGTAGTGAAAAGCGCAGCGGAATGTGAGTCAGGAGGCCAGCAATCCAAGCCCGCCTCCCTCTGCCACTAACTAGCTGTGAGATGATAAGCATGCCCTTTGGCCTCACTAGACACAGTCTCCCAGTTTTGGGAAAATTAGTACATGGGGTAGAAGGCAGCACTCTGCAGAGGTTCTCCTGAAACATTTCATGTACAAGCTGCATGACTTTAGTGAGTCCTGATTTATTCCACTGAAGATCCAAGAGAAATAAATTTTACACGACTAGTGTTTTTTTTTTAAGGTTTATTGATTTATGCATACAGAACTGGGGTACAGGCCAGAGGAGTGGGGGCAGTGAGAGGCTTCACCAGAGACAGAGTGGGGAGCAGAACAGGCTGATTGATGAAGTACACTGCTGAGGGGAGCAGCAGGCAGGTCAGAAGAGGTCTGCCACACCATGTAGATCACCTCCGGGGCGGGGATTGACTTGCGCTGAAGTGGCTTTAGCTTCTCAGTGCTGTGTTTTAACCTGCTCCACCACCAAGGAGGACCCAGGGCTAGTGATGTTTAAAAATAATAAATAGGAAGGTACCTAGCACAGTACGTGAAACAAACAATCGCTATTAGCACTTCTATTTATTTGCAAGCTCTCTTTAAGGATATTTGAAGGCTACAAAAGCTTCGTATGTAACTCCAATAAATACCTAAATACCTGAAAGTTATTACAAGTTGTTAGTGTAAGTCAGCACTTATTACTACTGACCAAAATACTCAAGAAAAATAAGTGTTCTTGATCCTTTTCAGCACCCACTCCAAAAATCCTCAAGTGGTAGATCAAATATAATGTATTTGGAAATGAACGGCAATAGAAAAGACACCTCAGATTTGCATGCCACCTTCCTGTAGTATTTAATTAAAGTGTCTGTTCCTCCTAGCTAGTGCTAGGAAATAGGCAAAAAAGCCTGGGGCAGAACGATAAAAAGTTTCTGTGGCCCTCCCTGGTGGCGCAGCGGGTTAAAGCACTGCACTGAGAAGC